TCAATTTCATTTTAAACGGAGTCATTATATCCAAATTTTCCTATAGAGAATTTAATATGAAAACCAAACTTAACACTACAATTACTTTATATTAAGTGGTTAGTCAATATAGGCGGAGTCAAACTAAGCGGGCGTCATACAAAGCATAGTCTTAGAAAATAAACAACTTTCTATTTTCAATTTCATTTTAAACGGAGTCATTATATCCAAATTTTCCTATAGAGAATTTAATATGAAAACCAAACTTAACACTACAATTACTTCATATTAAGCGGTTAGTCAATATAGGCGGAGTCGTAATAAACGATTTCCACTGTACCATGAAAAATTGTCCCTTAAGAAACCAGATTCGTTTCAGTCAATATCAAATTAGGTCTCGTTTTGTACAAAGATCGGTCTAGTTTTAATTTCCTGATTCTGAGTTTCACCTCCGTCTAAGAAGTGACTAATAACAATTAGAAACTAGGACAAATACATGCGTATTTATATATACCTATAAAACAGCTGCATGTATACATATTTGCATGTGCACTTATCTTAAAAGTATATTTTATCCGACAGGAACTGCTTTACCTCTGAGTATCCTTCCAGTGTTTCTTTTTGCTATTACCGTTTTCTAGACAGCGGCGGCGTTTTCTTACTTAAAATGGTATTTAATTGTTAGTCGTAAACTCTAATGCAATTGCTCCTTCAATTATCCTAATTACAGTCAGCATTTATGTGAAACATTTCTTGATAAACGTATTGTAGAACTACCGAAGGTGCAACTGTTTTTACTACATAATTCTACTCATTCGAATGTAAATTTATTGTTGTTATAATTATGTTTTGTTTATTAGCGATTCGATATTTAAAATCAGCTCATTTACAGTTTCAACCAAATTGTTCGGTCGTAAAAGAAGTATATAAGTGAAATTTAAAATATTTTGCAGTTGAGATACAAAAATTTATATTAAAAACTGTTTACATGATTGTAACATATTTGTTAATATTTTAGTCATAATTGTATATTTGTTTCTTTGTTTATCAGTATCAGTTGTGCGAAATCAGTTCTCAATATTACTGTTTGTAATTTAAAAAATCTGCCTTCAGCAAACTTTTCTAAATTCTGTTTAATTCCTGCACTATTGTTGTGCAGGTACCAAAGAAACTTTATCACATTTAGTACCTGTTCCAAAAGGCTCATTATCATTCAGTATTTCCAGGGTTGCTAAAATTCACCACCCTGACAATAGTTATGCAGCTTGAACCAGTTTCGGTTGGCTCATTTTTCTAGTAAGGATAAGAATTTAGATATTAAAAATTTTAGTAAATTAAGAAGAGAGTAATTCCAGCCATCGTCTTGTCAACATTTAGATCAAGTTAACGTATTTTTTCATCTCAACGTATCTTTAGGCGAGTTTTTCTATTAAATGTGCACTTATACTAATTTAAATATAGTTATTTTTATTGTTTGTGTAAGTTCGAGTGCACTGGTCCTTCGAGAAGTTTTTCTATGTAGTAAATAGGCAGTACACCAATTGTACTATTCTTTACATCATGCAACAAAAAGTAATTCAATTTCAGAAAGGGACCTAAAACATAAAGAAAAGACATAATTAACAAATCATCCTTGTTAATATCTCCGAGTTGGAGAAAATTTGAGTTAAAGAAATTTTCTGTTTTACCGTTCGTGTTGTCTTTTCCTACCGTAAACTTATGATCCCGACATTTTTTATCAATTTTCCTTAATATAATACTGAATGCGGTGGTGAGAAATTAATAATTCAACTTAAAAATTGGAGCTATTAATCATTATCGCTGCAGATGATTTTTCCAAAGAAATTTAGTAGAAATTCGAAATAAAAAGCTAATTTGTGATGTAAAAGCAGCACTCGTCAAGGGAAGAAAAAATATTCAAGTTAAAAGATATTGAATTGAATACTGAACTTCGGCTGTATTTTCAATTTTATTGCAAGCGGTTTAAAATACAAAATGGGCTTATACTAAAGTATTATGTCATTGATAATGTTAGCTCATGGGTGTGAGCGTTAACAGAAAATTGGGTCAAACCATCACGAACTGGGTTGGTTCAGCGTTAGGAAAGCATTTTAATCGAAATGTCATGGAAAGATATTTTCTAAACATATACATACATGTACCTATATATCCGTCTAGAGCTTTTTTACGATAATGCATTTTAGCTAGTAAAATTGATTGTTTGCTTTGAAAGTTCTAATCTAAAGTACGCCATTAGTAAAATATATTATTGAGATGATACTTATCACGATTCTCATTAAGTGCATTTAATTATGAGTCTGTACTAAAAAAGTGTTGACGAAATACATTCAACTCTCACTTGAAATATCCTACTACTTAGGAATTAAATACTTGCCAATTAAATAGCTTTTTACTACATGTGTTGAATAACTTAGGAATTTTCTTTGTTTATTAGCTACGTATTTTGAATTTTCAATTTAGTTTCTACAATTTTATGTAAAATTTCTTTTGAAAACTACAAAATTTATCTTCATTTCCAGTTTTCTCGCTGATGCTTACAGATGAAATTGGTTTTTCAGAACTCATCCAAACAAAAACAATAGTTATTTTCAATAAACCAACGTTTCGCCCATAGATTATGGTTTTCTTCAATGTTTTTGAAATGTTAATAAAGATGGAGACTTTTAGGCAACCTTCTAATGCATAATATGACAACTATCGAAAACTTTTTTTTCAATTAATATTTTAGTATTTTGTGTGTTCTGATCATACGTTATGCTTTTAAACAAAATTAAATTGGTTTTCCAACAGTTAGTTTTAATGCTTTGGGTTTAACATTAGCATTGCTAGTCATATTATGTACAAAAAAATGCTCCATCTATATTAATATATTAATTAACTTGAAGCAGAAGCTATGAACGAAACGTTGGTTTATCGAAAATAGTTAAAAAATAACTCATTTTATCTACAAAATTTATTTTAGATTTTAGAGGGTAATATTTTAAATGCATTTTGTTCAGTTGAAGATGTTTTTCAACCAATCATAATCTAAAAAGTAAATGAATAGCGCTTGCATATTCTGGGTTATTTACACATGTCTAGTATGCAAAAGAATAATAAAGCCCCCCCAGTCTTTGTTTTTATTCCAAGAACCATATGCACCAAGAATGTTGTTTTCTTCTAGAGGATGCAGTCAAAACGATATTCTACCGAAGCGATTTAAGTCTTGAACAAGAATTAAACTTCAGTAACACAAAAAATGTTCTGTTCTTGGGGTAAAAAACAATACTTAATAACATGATAATTAAAAGATAAAATAGGAAGTTACGTTTTTAACTATAGTTCTTTAGTAGTTGTTTCGATTTAATTGTTAAGAAACATAAGGGTATCTTTCTGTTTCCTATATAGGGGCAAGTTGATTTATTGCGCTAGTAATAAACAATAAAGTAAAAGATTATCGATTTTGACTTCATAATCCAAAACCAGACTATACACAAAAATTCAACAGGTATCAGATATCCCAGCAAGGTTCCTAGTGACTATAGAACTCCAAACAAACTTTATTAAAGCGTTTGCCATAGTTTCACTTTTATTACTGTATGTATGTACGTATGTAAGTAATATAAATGTATTTTTTTAGACAATTCATCTCAAATTTTCATTGTGTACTTTCTCTTAATTTTTTTTGTTAACTCCTTCCATGCGTATAATGAGGGCATCGTGTAGGTACGATGTTTCTTGCTCCTAAAGCATATGAATACATCACGTTCTAAACTATGCCTGACTTAACTCCATCATCATTCCTTAATCGGTCTAACAGCCGAGATCTTATTTCGTAGCATCCTCTTTAGTTAATCAAGCATTATACGTGCGTGTGTTAATTCCCTCACTTCTATCCGAGACTAAATTGACCGTTAGGTGAGGTGATCCGAAAACAAAAAGGGAAAATGTATTGTATGACCTTTTGAAAAGGGCTTAACATTAGCTATAATAGAAGCTTAGAATTTGATTTCTCAATAAAATGAATTGTAATAGTAAAGTACTTACAAAAAATTGGTGTTAATCAATAGCTTACACCAGCGGTTCCCAAATAGTATTCCGCGGAACCCTGAACAGAGGTTCCGCGAGATAAGACGTTTCTGGTCCTTCTTTTTTATCGAAATGGGGTTCCGTCAAAAAAGAGTCATCAGAAAGGGTTCCGTAGCAAAAATAGTTGGGAACCGCTGGTCTACACTATCATATAAAGAAGGAAAATTTGTTTATAGGAATAGTATAAGTTTTTAGTAATTTATCGAAAACTCCAGACACGGATCGCAATTTCAATCTTATTAGATCTCATTAGCACGTTATAGGTAGTCCCTCCCATATTACATCAACTTGCTTTTAAAGATCTTTTTCGATTTGGTCGGAGATTTTGCCTATGAGATCTTATCAACACTAACACCACATTGGCTGTTCAGGTCCGAAAGATTAGAACTGCTACTTAACAGATAATTCATTAAATGTGGAAATTCATTAGTTACCATTCAAGCTTCGGGATCAACAGGCAGTTTCCCATATTATTAATCAGCGAGTCGACATACAGTCAGGGCTTCTCGTTTTCATTTAGAAGCCTGGAACCCTAAAATAGGCATTGGTATTAAGGTAGGATTAGTGAAAAGATAGGTGTTTGTTAACAATATAATGATTAATAAACCCGAAATTCTTCAGGAGAACGGAGTTTAGGAAGTTAATTACCCGGATTGCTCGACTGTTTATATATTGGTAAATCCAAAAGAGATATGTTAGCTATATTCAAGAAACACGTCAATTAGGTGAAATACTTATAAATTCATCACTTTTCAGTGCATCGGTTATAAAACATTATTAATAATAACAGAATAAAGACCACTTGGTATATCTTTCACAGTTTATTATCATAATCTAACATATTTGTTTCGACCTGATGTTAGATCAATATTAAAGATCAGTATAGTTTGTACTCTTTGATAATGATCTAACTGTACATATAATAAGCATGCTTGGGGTTTAGTCAGTCATCTAATCGGTAAGAGTCATATCATACATAAAAATTAGAATTTCTAGAATTATTGTTAAATAACATCTTCAAAAACAGAAACCTTTCTAATACTTAGAATGTTCATTATTATTATACTTTTCTTTTCACAATATTCTCAAAAAATAATATGGTATTCATTTTCTATGTAATTTCACTATTCATTCCAGTCTAAATGGTATGTAAAATTCTTGGTTTCTGTTCCCTCTCTTCATTTATAAGTGTCTTTGTCCATCTTTAAAACCATCATGTGTGTTTTCGTCGATGTATTTGCATTCACATTCGTACTTTCGAAACAGTTTCAAATAACCAAAATTCCTAAGTATCGCAATGTTCATTTTGCATTCTTGCGCTAAAGAATAGAACAGTTACAACTGGTTGGGAGTTTTCTTGTGTCACTTTATTATGCGTTCTTGCAGCTGATTAATATTGTCTAGAAATCCCAGCGGGATTTCACTACCGAAGTTTTTGCGAATGCATCAGCTGTGTCAGCTGGAGAAATCCCACGGGAGAACTCCAGAAATACACATGCACCTAAACGTGTTAGTGACACTAAGGATTAGAGACTTGAACGGGACAACAAATATTAAAGTAATACTTATCAGTATGTTTACCTTACAATTTTTTTGATTCTGCAAATTGTTTCCGAAAATAATTTAGTTAATAAGTTTAAAAGATAGGTATGATTTATTATAAACTAACAATATCATTCACTCTTGTACGATAAAGAAGTTTTTTTTCACATTTACATTAATACGTAAGTATACCAAGCTGTTGTAGGATTAAATTCTTTAAATAATGTTCTCAAGCTAGCAGTTTTTCCCCTAGCTAAGGCTCATGCGCCTTTTTTAATGTTTTATAGCCTAACTCTTTTAGTTTATTGTGAAAACTAGTTTACTTTCAATTGGAATAGTTCCGGCTAAAAAATCGAGTCATTAATTTAATAGAAAGGACTCCACTAGATCCTTAGGGGAAGTGACCCTTTGTTAAACTCTTTGGTTTTTGAATTTTGGTAATTACCGACGTCTAGATTAAAAATTCTAATGGACGCTAAGTCTTAAAAACTCATCTATTTGAGATTTGGTCCCTTAAAGTTATAATAAAGGTATATTGGAAGTCCTTATTAAGGAATAATGCAACATTAGGGGACCGTATCTCAAAGAAATAATCTCTTACGATTTAGCGTTGAGAATTTTGATTTACACGTTGAGAATTACCAGAATCGAAAGTTTGGAAGAGTTTGACAAAGGACATTTTCCGTAAGGATCTAGCGGGGTCATTTCAATTAGACAGTCAATTTATAATCTAAAATCCGCACTCTTGAGTCAGAAAAATAGAGAAATTCGAGTTAAAGGGTTCAGAATGAGCGTGAAACATTACATACCTATGTCAAGGGAACAGCTGCAAAAGTTCGGCTAATTCTACAGTTTAATAGTTTCAAATAGATTTAATAATTTGAAATCGTGCGAATCTCTAGAACGAAATATTTTATTTCTTTTTCATTCTTTGTGAATTTACTCGACGACTAAAATAAAAACGGATAAAATGAGCACCGCATTCTTCAGTTCTGTGCAGAAAATTTTTGATGAAGAAAGAAAATTGTTTTCTCCGAGAAAAAGAATAAGAAGTCAATTTGAGACTGTGGAATGGATCTGTAATTATGTAACGTTTGTTGTTATCTCGTTTAAACCGATAAAAGTTAAAAAAAACTGATATGAATAAGCTAGGTACCTAAGCTAATTAAAAGCATCGTGTTATTAATAAAATTTACCTTACTAAGAAATAGCTTTCATCGTTAAACTTCGTTCCTGCACGGTGACTAATGACCTTTTTAATTTAGGTAAATGCGTATAAGCTCCATAGGTACATTAACCCCAATTTACCGTGGAAAAATAAAATATTGCATAAGTCAAAACTTTTCCCAATGCCATTTGTTTTAGAATTTCGTACACACAACGCCTGCTTTGGTGTCTTTTGTTCCTAAAATAACATTCGCCTACTTATATTAAGGGTAATTACCGAAATTAAAAAAGTTTTATACTTTTTAGGTGTTTTTAAAATGAAATGAAATAACACGCATATTGTATGAGTTAACCAATTCTATAAGTTAAGTAGTTAAGATGATGTAAATTGTATATAAACATGAAAATAGCAAATCAGGAAGTGATGTAGTGTTTTGCTCTTATTTTTATTATTTATTTACTTATATATCTCGTCTTGTGCTAATGTAAATAGGTAGCGTAATTGACTAAGAAATTAAAAAGATTTTTTTCTCCTTTAATTTTCAGTTTTGTAGCAAAGTCGTCACAACGAAACAAAATATTTACATTGAAAGTAATGGTATTTTTATTTAGTAATGGTATTTTTATTTAATGATGGCTGCTGTGTATACTATAGTTACAAAAATATCAGTGAATTTTGTCAGAATTATGGAATATTAACAACTCAAATAAAATAAAACGTTTTTTTTTTTAGAGCAGCATTGTCAAGGTAAAGATATGTTTTTCTGGAGATAAATATACATATAGAAAATTAGTTAAAAAAATAATACGAGATATTTTAATTTGCCTAAAATTCGCTTTAAATTACTACTTTCTAATAAGTTTTATGCTTACTCAGTTATTTCCTAAAATACAAACATTGTTTTCGTTAAATTTAGTTTCTACTGTTCTTTATATTTAATAAAGTGCACTGCTTTCATATCATTAATTAATTGCACTTAATCTTATCCAATACTGTATGAACAAGTAAAGCTAAAACTGGCAATATACACTTTTGTGATCATCAAAAGTAGAGATAATAAAAAATAAAACCGATAAATATAGAAATAGTTACTTTTATTTTTTCATTATTAAAAGAAATAATAAAAAATAGTCAGTTTCCGCATTTAAATCATAAATAAATAAGGAAATGAAACAGTTGGGTATTTTGAAAAAAACTTTATAAAATAGATTGCAATAGATGATTGATTGTTTATAACGGTCTTTTGCTCAACAAACCTTGATTTGTAATTAAAAAAAAAATTATTTATCTATTTTTTTTGTTCTGTCTAATTGTTAATTTATTAAACGATAAAATCACCTTGGAATGAAACAATATCGAATATAAGAATATTTAGGTTATTGTTAAACAAAAAATCTAAACTATCAATTAATAATAATAGATATGTAGATTTTCTAAATTTTAATGGTGAATGTGGTGAGAGTTAGAAACAAACGTTTGTTATAGTTGCGATCGACTAATAGCGTTAATGAAACATTGGCGATGACGAATGATGCGAAGCGACATGACATTGAAAATAGCGATCATTTCCAACCCGTTGCATTACAAGACGCAAACAAATTTAACTTTTTCAATAACGATCTGAACTTATTCGACATGCATCGAAAACTTTAATAGATAGTGTAATACGTATCTCTTTTAAAACTGTAAATTGTTTTGTAGGGATATTTAATGTAATTAAACTACAAAAACAGAGATTCATTGTCAACGAAAGCTTCAAAATTTCTGTAAATACTACCATATTATTATACGAGCAATATTTATTTTGTTTGTAATCGCGTTTTTAAAAACGGCAAAACAATTGAGGGGTTTAGAAGCAACTACCACCGTCTCCATTGAAAATGTTCGGTACAGTTTCCACTAGACCACGGCTTCTTAGCCTGGAAAATCTTCATCGTATAAACTCCGGCCGTGAAAGCCTACAAGCATATATACATTGTTGGTGTTATATTACAATTGTATAATATTCAGGAACTAAATATATAATACACAGGTAAGACGTTCGTCCTTGTTAATAAAAGTTGATTTACAAAGATAACATCTAATATTACACGAGCCACAAGTATACTGCAATTTTTTGCTTCTGCGGTTTTTTAATACCCATATAATTGTTTCTGAAAATGGTCAAACTGAGTGGTTCATATAATGAAGCGTTTCCTGCTGGCAACAGTAGATTGATATTGTAGTTACTCTGAGATTAATCAGCATAGTACAATTTAAACGAGCTTTTTTATTCAACTTTATTAAAATAGATGTTAGTTTTATTAAATAATTATATTATTTATTAATTCATCGGATATCACCTTATAATATTATTATCACATAAATCAAGAAGAAATTAATTAATTGTCACCTGAAATTTTAAAACTGTTTCTATTTTTTAATAAGCGCCTTTCAAGAATTGTAAAATTGTAATAATTTTATAACTTAGAGAACTTGAATTCGTTATTTTTTGGCCTATAAGAAATAGGCGAGATAGGTTGGTAGGGCACCTTCTACGACTTGAAGGGCATAGTTAGAGACATACTAGAATTGTAAAGATTGGATCAAAATAGGAAGACAATGAGGTGCGTGTCAAATCTAGATTCGTAAGAACTAGAACTGCTAGAACTTTAATTTAAATTTGAGAGATTTTATATTAACATTTTTTACGTCATGTATTTCAATTAACTTTATTTTATTATTTTTGTTCATGAAAAATGTAACAATAAGAGTTGTTTTCGTTTTTAAATGTGTTACAATTTGAAATTTGATTATTCATTGCGCTTTTTTATCTTTGAGCATAATAATATGTGCTTATCAGCGACTACCATTACGATTGGACCATATGGAAAACCAATACAGACGCGTGACAAATCCATGAATTCTTCTGTTTTCTTGTTGGTTTTATCAAAAATTCGATTCAGTTATCTGCTTCCTTCCGTTGCTCCAGGTCTAAAGTAAACAACTGCTGCGATAATGCATCGAGAACATACTGACACACGATCAAAAAAGGAAAGACTGGATCTGCGTTTATGGTATAAGGCGGATTAGGTATTCTTGGTGGTTATGCCTCCTTCTGGTAGCTGTACGTGAGTCATAATCACGTTTTGAGTTCGATTATTGAAAGTAATATTATAACGGTTGTTTTGCTGTAAGTGTCATTGGCATTGGTGTAGGAAGTTATTAAATATCTCTAGATTTATGCAAATATATGTATGCTGTATGACTATGATTAAGTAATGGTATAAAATATAAGACGTTTATCACCTAGCTATGCTGCTTTGCATATACAGTCCAGTAACACTTCGATAACTCGATATTTTTAACTCCAATATTTTCTGTAACTTGAAATTCGGGTTACATCTATTCGAGATTATAAATTATCCCTTTTTTTCAACAACCTACGTTTCGCCTCAATTACCAGGCATCTTCAGGCGAGATGTAGGTTGTTGGTCTCGTATAAATTGTTGTCCCATATGTAGCTAGACTTCCTACTTTATAAATTGTACTTTTTTTGGAATTTCTATGAACTTCCTTCGAAAAAATTCAACCGTGGAGATAAATAATGACTCAAGTTCATAAGCACTCAATATTATACCATGTTAATAGCAAAAAAGCTCTTAGATATGAATCATAAGCTTACAGTAGGAAAAGACAATACGAACGAAGAACTTATATTGTCTGACATATTGATCTGAGATTGTAGGGTTTATTAGCGGTCGGCTTAACGAAAATAAACGCAAAGACGATGTCTTCAAAACAAAAAACAAGTGACAGTAAAGTTGAAATTTTCCTAAACAATAATTTTCTTTAACTGGTTGCATTTAAGGGGTCCGATAAAGAGAAACATAAAACACATAAAACAAACACATACGTATACATATAATAGACAGATACAAATTGAAACATATATGTCGAAAGAGGGTTTTCTTTATATGACATAAATCCACAAATTCTATATTTTGAACAGATGTAGCAATTCAATAAAATAGGGCTGAGATACCCGTAGATGATTATCATAAAGTTTGTTTTCATGCAATTGTGGATTAATCATTTATTGTGCGTAAGGTCGTTTGAATGATAGATCTGTAATTAAGTATATCTAGTGATAAGGATAACGCTCATAATCTCATAATCGCAGCAAACAAGGACATCAAATTCTGAAAGAATCTATCGCTTTGTAACGTTAGAGTCATGCTTAAATAATGGAAATGAATATTTTGTTGCAGTAAGTAATCTCTTGGTATTAAGTTACGTGAAAGGGAAAAGAAGGATCTTACTTTCTGGAACAATTAATGCATGTACTTACGTAACATACGGACCTATATGGTTATACTTTTTAGTGTCAGTTTAAAAAAAAAAATGAGCATCAAAACAAAAAATAACTCAAAGATCAATATTCATTTTGTTTTTTTTTTTTGTGAGAATTTTAATTTGGGTCAAGTAAAGTGACCTTATTTTGGTAGCATCTGAGTATGCCATGGTAATTTGTGTTTCGTTGTGTTGTTGTGTAACTTTGCAAAAGAACAACGTATTTCTTGGCAAAAGAGAAAAAATATATCTACCTACATTTGGTACACTGTTGTTATTACGTAGATTTAAAGATTTAAAAATACTTTTGCAGTACATATCGGTTGTGTTCTAGATTTTTTAACATCGTCACTTGTTCTACTTACACTCCCTCAACTCTGTCATTACTCGATAATTACCCAGATATTAATTTACCGCAGGGTTGATTCCAGGTATTACCGTGACCTATACGCTTCTGTCGGAATATTAACTGTGTAAAATAAATTTACCTCGTTTCCACGAGAAAACAGATTAATGATACCTGCTTAGTATGTGAATGTTTCTTTTGGAAAGATGATCTGATAGAAGAACTGAAATTTTCATTCATTTCTGGAGAAACCACTGAAAATATACCCTAAAATATCTTTCTTCTACAATTACGAAAGGATTAACGTTAAAATTATTTAAAAAAAGCAGGATTATTATAACCTTAGTTCAACTTTGCAGCGACTAATAGGTTTAACAATTTTTAACAAATCTGCAACATTTTGTTGGCTTAGGTACATTGCAAAATTAGTGTCCACGAAAAGCTCTTTTATTTTAACAGAACAAACACAGCTAACGTTTATCTCGAAAGTCCATTCTAAATATTGTTGAAAGAATAGTTTCTAAGATTACATTTCTATACAATATTTGTCCAATCCAACGGGACTTGAACCTTGACGAAACTCTTGTACAAACTAGAGTGGGTGGATCGGCTTGCGAGTTGCGATGATTTAGGGAGTCGGATTTTAGGTTCAATCATAATGGGGCTCTTAAAGAGAAACTAGAATAAGACAAGTCCCTGAAAGAAGGCATCAGTTCTTTCAGTACTCAGGGTGGAAGAGATCACGAGGATCGGTATGGCACTCTGATGAACAATACTGTGATGTGGAAGGCAACGGGAAACCACCAAATTATGATCCCGAGTAAAACGTACAACTACACAAATTAAATGACGGCGTCCTCTGGGGTAAAGCACTCCGGATGTAAACCAGTCCCCCATTCGAACGTAAACTAGTCCCCCATTCCGACGTAAACTAGTCCCCCATTCGGACGTCTGGGAGGGGACCACCTCGGGGGATGTCAATAATAAGTTCAATAGGGGTAGGTGCAATATTTCATGAGTCGGAGCGTGGAATGTTAGGACTATGAGTCAAGTAGGGAAATTGGAAAATTTGAAAGTTGAGATGAAGATTCTGTTCGCAAATAGTTAAGGATGTAAGTTGTTCTAGTTTTAGGGAAATGCGAGGATTAGCCCAGGCTAAGACAGAGTGAAGGTGCGTATCCAACCAATCTTAGGACTGACGTGCAAGTCATTGATATGATATTGCTTAAATCACCCAGAATCACCTTACCAATTATATAACGTGAATCACT